AATAATCCATTCTTAAATGCATCATAGTAATGTGTGCAAAACATAGGTCAAATTTCTCTAATACTGTATGTCTTACAGCATTTAAAAAATGTTGTAAAGAGCCACTAGTGGCAAAAAATGTGAGCTTGAGTATCAAGTATTTGAGCTTGTTAACAGGTGCATAAAGTGGTTCTTGGCTACCCCTCCCAGCCTCATTGTTTGTGAGCAGTTGAGCTGTTTGGTCTTAGTCGTCCTACAAACAAGACTGATTGCTGAAAACTGAGTTTCAGATTCCACCCTGTGTGACACAATGGGATTTGTTTTCTCAAGATGGACTCATTTGTTCTCAGTCAGTTTTGCTCGACAGACAACATCTGGTCATGAAAAGACAGTTTGTGTTGGCTTGCATGTGATGGCAAATGTTTCCCCTTAGTAAAGCTTAACACATTGAGCAGTCCATGAAAATCATTTTGTTGAAAATATTCTTTTTATGTGATCCAACTGAGCACATTCATTCATTTTGTACACTCAAAAAATTAGCCAATGAGGTTTGAATAAAAAATTTTAACAATTAAGGGAAATTTCAACCTAAAACTAGAGCTTTATATGCTATTTATCGTGTTATGCAGTATTCTGTAGTACAGCATTATATCTCTCAGCCTCATGCATTTGACAACTCATATTGTTTTCATGTATGTGTTTGTCAGTGATCTCTCACTACAAAATCCAGCATGCATTTCGCAAATGCATCATACAACCTTTGAGAATCACTGGGGTCTCAACCATTCCTGACAGCTGGCCACTGATCTATAGGCTAATAAGTAACTCTTACCTCAGCTGTCATACAAAACTATACAAAAACAATGATTATATAATTATTTAGCACAAAATATATGCAAAGGACATGCTTTTTACCCTCACAGCCAGAGGAAAGAAGCCAAACTAAGGTACTATCTGCCTTCTTTCTGCATTCACCAGCTAATAAAAAAAATCCAAATCCTTACAAATTCAACTAGAAGCTGTTTTTCAAAAGTACTGGTGGGTTTTAGACTGGAAATCTTGCTCTAGAGATTACTGTGGCTCGATGTAGGTGAGTAGGCATGTTTACAACAGATACATTTTTCATTTTGGCCAGGATGTCAGTGTAATTGCAGTTGATTTGCATTGTGAGGTGACATATGCTGAGATCCTAGAACAGCCCTGTGACAACACACAAATAATGGGGCACATTACAATGAAAAAGTAAATTTAATAAATTGAGTGTTCGCATGTGGAATTTCAAGTGCAATCTAATCCTCTGATCATGCAGAAAGATATATTTTAGACAGGCAAGCATTGGTAAATGTTTAAAGTATACAACTGAAAAAAACAGTGGCAAAAGGATGTAATGAAATCTACAGTGGGTGCTAGCGTGGGAAACAGGAAATACCTCCAGTCTCTATCCATCAGGAAGTATTGAATGACTATAGTCTATATAATATAACGATATTAATAATAATAATAATATAATACATTATAATAACTATAAGAATATTATTTCAAATGCTTGAGGAGTTCTTTTTTATTCTACACTTTCTAACGTTTTAATTTATTTTAATTCATTTATGTGTTTTTTAAATGTTCAGGTGCATCTAAAACATTAGCTTGATTTTGAGAGATCATTAAATATTGACATGCTGTATAGCTAAATAGTTATAGTAAATCACTGAACTGTAGTCAACTGTAAATCAACTTGAAAGCCAAACAAAAGAAAACTGTAGTAACCAAGAGCTTCCTTGTTCTTCCTTGGACCCACATTTTCAGTGGTGACTGATGGAAGCCATTCACTTAAAGCCAACATAATGTAAAGCCAACAGTGGAGAGGAACCCGAGGACGAGTGACCATTCAGGTGATGTCCAGTCCTGAGCCTGCACTAAATATTTTATTACAACATTAACCATTCAGTTAAATTAAATTCACTGTATAGCTGTACTTATATATCCACAGTAACAATTACTGTTACACAGTCATGATGTAACCTAAGGTCACCAAGCCCAGTGCCAAGCATGCCAAGCATTGGGCTGGGGAGCAGTGGAAGTCTGTTCTCTAGAGTGATGGAGCTCCATCCAATACCTATGGGATAAGCTGGAGTGGTGTTTGTGGTCCAAAACAAATTTATCCAACATCAGTACCTGACCTCACTAATGCTCACTAAAGGCTAAATACAATCAAATCCTAACAGCAACTTTCCAACATCTAGTGTAAATCCGTCACAGAAGAGTACTGCAGCAACTCCCTATTAAAGGAGCTTTTCAGACTAAAACTAGCACTTAATATGTTATTTGTCATGTTGCTTAATTTATTTTTAGGGCAGAATTGTACCCCTCAGCTTCAACTGCTTCATAAAATTCATGATTTTGTATCTTATTTTTTGTCTTCATCTAAGAATGTTCTTATACTACAGTATCTCAGCATGCATTATGGAAATATCTCATACAACCACTGGGGATGCCCCCAAGGCAAAAAAGAACTTCTGACTGCTAGCACAGCCACTAACATAGAGGTTAGTAAATACAAGTGATATTTGGCTTCCAATTGGTGAGTTAGCTATCTGATGTCCTTCTTCACTGGCCAGCTCGTGAGAAAAATTTAACAGCCCATCCTCAAGTACCCACCCCGAGGCCCTTATAGTTCAAAAGTTCCTCCCACTTTCAAGATGCATCACCAAAATGGGGTTTCCCTAGTCTTCAAACCGGAAAACCCCACTCCAGAGACTACTGAGGCACCACAGGAGGAGATGAGAGTAGGCATGTGTACAACAGACGTAGAGATGGTTACATTTTTCATTTTGGGTAGAGTGTCACTTTAATAACCTTGAATTCAGCAGGTGTCTACAAACTTTTGGGTTTATAGTGTATGTACCTTACTATTCTATTGCTGGGGAAGTTGTTTCTTCCTTTTAATGTTTTAATATAATAATAAGCTACAAAACTAAACAGGAGGCACCCAAGAGCTTTATAACTATGTGCATCTAAAACATAATTTCATAATTTCATAATTCAGCATAGTGGACGCCAGCACAGTACCACTTACCACAAATATTCATACCAATTATAACAGTATCATAAAGGTTATACAGGGTCTGCTTTCACAAAATATAGTCATCAGAACCAGCGTGTGCAGCATGTACTGAGTCTCCATGTTTGCTTGTGTCTGCTGACTGCAAGGGCAGACTATTTATTATTAGGTTATCTATTATTTATACATTAATTAGAAGATCATTTATTTGTTTCCTGAGAGATCCCCAAGACATTCTCATGTCATTTTTCCTCAAAATAATGTGGTTCAGAGGGTTCATCTGATTCAGTCTTTCTTTTTTTTTACTGTCTATTAAACACATCATGAGGTAACTGAATGAGCTGAAGTCTATGGGTTGGCTCTTTAGAAATAACAAAGTGGATGAATGCTGTTTGGATGTTGAAGGTCATGACCTCTGAAAAGTAGGAAGCCCTGAATTGTTCATGATGTCAGCATGTCTCTCTTTCCTGGCTTTAATTTCTGAAACTGGGGCAGAAACAACACCAGACATGCAAGACTGAGGACAACGCAAATTTTGTACTTTTAATTATAGCTTTGACTGTAATAGATAAGTGGGTTACAAACTCTGCCTCTATGTTATATATCATTCTTATAATCAGCTTCAGACTAGTTTTCATATTTACCCTCTGTAAGACAAAATGTAACTGGTAATAAAATGTTAATGAAATGAACATATGTGCATATGGATCTTCATGTAGTTATAGTAACCATAACTTGACTTTTAGCAAACCATTGGTGCTGCTTATGTGTTGAATGATAACAGCATCTTAATTGTAAATGTCTGTAATCAACAGATACTGTGATCAACATCCAATAATAGTTATTGTGTTAATACTTTACCTCTCTGTCACCTGATGAGGCTTTTGCTGCTGCACTGAAAAGCAATCTGAAACTGAAAGATATCAATTGTGTTGAATGCAACAGATTTCATTCACTTGCAACCACCTGATACATTTGTATCATGAACCATTTTCAGTGTGCACATCATTAATAAAAACTGAAAGAAGGACTTAATCCCTCCTAGGCCTCCCACTAATAGAGTGTGAGCAGTGTAGGCCCAGCTACATCACTTAATACTGTTTCACTCGTAGATGTAATGGGCCTGTTTAGGAAAATCACTTACTAGCCTTCATTCTTTGTACTACGCAGCACAAAGCAAGCCCAGTGTGTAGCAGAGAGTGAATGTCAACGTGTCCAACGTGGACATTGAGAGCTTTATGCGTTCATCAGTTCGGGCGCCTCCCAGTGGACAACCTTTTCTTTTCATGTGCAAATGCAGCTTTAGCTGTGACGGGTAGCCCTGATACAAGATGAGATCAGACTATCAAAGTAACTGGCTCAGCTTTAACCGACAGAAACACCCATTTGTAGCGTTAAGGCAAAATCATCAGCCTCTCTGCGTTAGAGTAGACATAGAAGTTCTCCTAATGCAGCATTTATCCCGGATGACCCTTTTATGATTCTATGAATGGACCTCCTCGTTTTCAACGTACCAATGCAGCCACTACTGAAGCGAGAGACTTAAAGTTGCTTGAACATGTTGCTAGCATAAAGCAGCTAAGCTCACGCTTTACTCGCTCTCATTAAAGATTTCTTCAACCGCACGCAGCGTTTTTATCACATACTCCACTGCTTAAGCTTACTATTTCAGACTGACGTAATGGTTAAAGGCAAGCTTCGTACTCAGACCTCAACATTCAGTCCACTAGAGAAGGACACTTCGTGCTGGGAAATATTTTAAAATAACGTATAGAGATATTTGTCTCTTGATACAACGCGGGTGGAGTTGGTAGTATGTGTGTACTTAAGTAATCAAAGTTAACAATGGCTTAACAATGAGCATTTTATTTCTAGAAGACGATTTCATTGTTGTAGCACCCCTCTGTTGAGAGTGGTACAGTCCACTCTGCCCCGAGCTGTTTTTTTTTCCTCCTCCGCCGCTGAGACGGACTTGGTTCGGATATTGCTGCTCAACTGCTCCACGTTTCCCGCACAAATTCATAAAGGGAGATGTGCCCAGAGAAATCCGCCTACCACATCTGGAGCGTATCCTCCTCTTAAAACGGACGCCGACCATCGCCACTCGACACGTTAAGTTACTTATTCGTGGCTCTAAACGGTAAATTGGGTCGTTTATCATAAAGAAAGCGAACGAAAGCGACGCTTTTCAGTCCCATGTTGTCGCCGAATCAGGACGAACATGCCCGCTCTAAAGATCCGGTGAAATACGGCGAACTGGTGATACTCGGGTGAGTAAGGAGCTAGTTTCGGGGGTGCACATGGCTATCCTGTGTCTTAGCCTTCCTTTAGAGGCTCTAGAGGATCCTCTGAGGTTCACGGTTTCCTCTGTGTTAGAGTTCAGGGAATGGTTCAGGAAAGACGGCTGTAACGTTAGCTAGCAACGTGTTCAGAAGTAGCCTGAGCAAGAACAGCTGAGCTGCACTTGTGATGGTAAATGGTAGACTGTAGCTCAGTTACTAAAGGCTTGGGTTCTCTAAAGGAACAAAAAATGTGATTGGTGTTAGTGCTATTGGCACTTATTGATCAGGTTCTAGTTGTGGTTGCCTACTAAAATACTGTGGGCTTCAAAATAACATCAACTCAAGAGAGAAAAAGGTTCAGGTTCCACACTCTTTTACAGCATTCTACACATAAGGGTGGGCAGTATGGCAAAGAAATACTGTCACTGTACACTAAGACCCAATATACCTCATGATATTTCGTTTCTGTGAGGTTTATTTACAAATTGGAACAGACAAATACGCATAAGTAGTACCACATTTAAAAAAGGTATCAAAACTATTGGTACATTTTTTTTTTTTCATTTATTCATTTTTATTTTACAGACTGATGCAATTGAATTGTACACACAATTTCACTACATTTAGAATACTGGTTCATACAAATTGAGTTAAACATAACTAATTTATGCTCTCTTTGGAATAAAAATAACCACAATATGTTCAGGAAAGTATATTGTGTCATAATTATCCCAATAACAATGAAATATCATTATATAAGCCACCCATAACTGCACAAACTACTACATAGTACAAAACTGGGACATAATCCTGGACCCACATTCATCAAGATGCTTATCTGGGATCAGTTTAGGCCTCTTACATTTAACACAGAATAGAAAAACATTAGATCAGTGTTCTCACTCTGCATCATAAATATGAGACCAAGCCTGGAAATGGTAGACAAATGTTCTTCTATACTGGGAAATATGCATCTGATGGGATCTTGAAAGAAAATTGTCCTTTGGTATCAGCATGTTTGCTATAGATGTTCATCTCGCACAACAAGATAAACCTGCAGTGATTTAATACTAAGGTTAAGGTGCTCACTTGAGTTTCTGAAGTTATTGTGTTCATAGGCCAGCACGGCCTGTTCTAACTATGTATAAGTTTCCTGTTGGTGTGGCCCCTGTTTGTCAGTCCTACTAGTTATCAGACTTCATGGGTTGCACTGCCTGTTGTTGGGTCTTTGGCCAGGTCTGTCATGTTGTGACGCATTCAACACTGGAGAAATTAGCTCATATGTGTTAATAGTGTAGTTATAGCTACATCTGGTCTGAAGATGTGTGTGACAAAAGTGTGTCCATAATGATTTTAATGTTTATTTCTATGAAGCAAAAAAGTAATGCAAAGTAATGGCTTTACGTTTTATTCATTTACATCGTTATCAATGGTACAAAGCCACTTCATTTATGTTCCTTTATGATTCAAAAAAATGATTGCTTACTTTGTTGTATCCCATTGAAAGCTCTATATAATGATATATATATATTTGGAAAAACTGTATTTCGTGTAAAATCAACAACTAATATTTGCCTGATTACACTTTAGGCAGTATTTTCCTGGAGCATAAGCAAATGAATGTCTCTTAGTAAACAGGAAACCATAACTTCCTAGAGCTGTAAAACTCAAGACATGAGTGCTCCTCTATTCAGAGTGGAACTGAATGGAAATACATCTCATTACTTCTCATCAGTTTCTTTAGTCGCTACATAATTTTTGTTGAGGCTTCTTGAAATCAGATTTCTTTAGCTCTTTTATTTGGTCATGAATGGTGTTGAAATTCACTATTGTTAGTTGTCTGGAAATCTTTGTTTTTCTTTTTTAATCAAAATGCTTTCTCTATAGAGTCGTACCCTAGAACTAGGCCAGCTTCAGTCAATCTTTAGGTTCTATTAGGTCACTTATGGTATCGGACTTCTTGTTGGCGAGTACTAAAAAACATATTTGTACTTGGTCCAAAAAAATAGTAGGTATCAGTGCATCCCTAGTTCAGATGTAGTCTGGGCTGGAGTGCCTATGATTATATTCTCTTAAACCTCCTCCAATAATGTGGAAAAAAAAGGCATAAAAATGTTCATTTGATGTTTCATTTAATGCATTTTAGGTCATTTTTGAAGTCATTTTGAGAAATCTGGGAAGTCATTTCATGAACCATGCCTATCGTTACGTAACAGTGTTTATGTAGACATTGTTAGGTTATGTCTTGCTTGATTATGACTGCTGTGATGGTAGTAATTTCTGCTTGCGGTTCTATGGAAATATCAGTGTTATGTTAGTGCCAAGCTAGCAGTGATGTTTACTTTCCACTGTTTATCTTTCAAGGTGTAAAAAACATGACTAAACCAGTTCACAAAGAACACAAATAAAAATGAGTCAGTTAAAATTTGAGGATTCGGTTCAAGTCCTGCTGTGAGTTTAATTAGCTTTATGCAGCTGTTTGTTGGTTAATGTAGTGCTGACACTGTAGTGTTACATTCTAAATAATACAGCCGTCCATATTTGTTATCTGCCAGACTTTCAGTATTCCAAGATCAGACCATGCGGTCCCTGAAACTCAATTGTAAAGTGAGTTTGATTCGAGCGGTAGCCTGAATCTAGTTATGTCCTGGAACGTGTCCAAGCAATACTGTGGAGCAGAAATCGAAACTAATGACTCATTGGTTGATGCTGTGTATTGAGTGAGTGCTGGATTTTGGTAGGATGCACGGCCCTTTTAAAAAGTTATACTTGAGCTACATTCATAGAATTTAACATGAAACAAGAGCAAATCCAAAAGGACAAATGATCATGCTCTGCGTCACTTGACTATGTTGTACATCAGTTGATGTACAAATAATTGCATTGGTTTAATTACGATGGCACACAGTGCTTCAATTTGTTCTGTGGAAAGAGAGGTGCAGTAATGACAACTTTAAGCAGGCATGTAGGTCATAGATTTTTGCACTGGTGTGATGTATTATATGTTATATAAAGAGGTTTCAGTACCATGTGGACTTGAATTTGACAAAGCAGTGAAACATTTCGATTTTTCATTCCTATTAAGTGGTTTTACAAATTTAAGTGTTCAAGTTTGTTTGAATATTTCTATGTGAGTTGACCCCTGAGGCTGCACTAGTTGTCTGGTCTTTGTCTGAAATAAGGCTGATTTCTACCTCTGTGAAGATGCACACAAACTTATCCGTGATGAGGTGCAGATAAAGCGTTCCTGGGTAAGCGTCGCTCGCAAAGATCACCACTTGCACATCTCCAAAATTTTAACTACATGTTGTGTGAATTTGCAAAGCTTTGAGTGAAACAAATGCTGATAGGGTAGCATTGAGACCTAAACCACATTTGACCCAAACCAGAAGAAGAGCAGAAACAGGCTTTTTTCTCTCCACGTGTTCGCAGCAGATCTGTAAATAGTTTGTTGTAGTTAATTGCAATTAATCACATTTGTCTTTATTATTGGTGTTACTAAATTATTAATCAGTTATTACATTATTAATGCATTAACCTTGATAGCACTAGTTCACAGACATGCAAACACAGAGGTATAATTCGGCCTTTATAGATCACAATGATTTTGGCTTTTCAGGTATTGGTATAGGATATATTCACTTGCATCAGACAAGTGACACACATTGCTACATCTCAAGTGTTTTAGGTCAGCATGGACATACAGGGGAGAAAGTATTTGAATTTTTCATTCTGGGTGTGTGTGTGTGTGCGTGCGTGCGCACTCATGCGAGCACTAGTTCTGCTGTGCCGCTCTTCTGTCTCTGCTGTCTCACTGTGCATTGCTGAACTGGCACATTGACCAGTCTGGACACAGTCAATGTATTTGCACCACTGCTCACCTCAAACCATGCAGACATTTTAGTTCAGTCACACAGCCAGCAACCTGAAACTAAGAGTGAACATCACAATACATGGAGACATTTTGACAGTGCACAGTATGTTTCACAATATTTAGCTTTTCTGAGGTTTGTGAACAAGTTGGAATGGATAAAATGCACCAGCAAAACAGAAGAGACAAATTAGAGGCCCATATACTGTAGGCTTGTTATATTTTATTGTTTTCCCTGATGTCCACTTAGGACTTTGCATGAGTTCATGGCCAAATACAGTCCTATTTCATTTTTACATGATCATTATCCAACTTCTCTATATCTCTTAGAATGGAACAGGCTGTGTTTATTACTATGACCTTAACACTGACGTATGTAAATAAGTTCTGTTCTGATTGACTGCCCTGTATTGTGCTTGATTCAAAAAGCCAGGCTAAAACACTCTCTAAAACTTTAGTGTAAATGGATGGGGCTAAAATTCTGTAAGCTGAGCACACACACACACACACACACACACGTACACACACACAGTTTCCCATGATAATGGCCCTTTTAAAAAGGGCTAAAAAGTATAGTGACTTTGTTTAATTCAGCATTTCCAAAAATTCGCTATTTAAGAAGGAACAGGAGGAAAATTTTATAAAAATGAATGAAACAAGATGACAGCATTATAGGCTGACATCTAGTTAAGTGTTTGTTACTATGCAGTTTATGAAGTTGCTATGTTGTTGTTATTTACAGGTTCTCTATAATTGCTCTAAATAAGTGTTTGTTATACATGCAGTTGTTCAAAAAGCATTGCCGGTGCCCGTGATATACTCAAAAAATTAAATTTGTCATGGTAACAATTACACATCGTCATATTGCCTAGCCCTACCTGAAATGGTTTCAGACATTTGCATTTTCTGTTTATCAATCAGATTTTTAATTATTGGAATCTAACTTGTTTCATGAAATGTACTGGAAAAATATGTTAACTCATAGGGCAGGGTTATGATTGTCTCTAGGGGCCTTAAAGTACTAACTGGGTGAATATCTCATCAGTTTCCCATGCTTTGCCTCAGTTGTGCTGTTTGTCACTGATAGCTGCAAGAAGAACAAAAGAGTCTTTCTGTGGCATCAGCAGCAAACTGCAGGCTGTAGAGACTGGATGCCAAACTGAGTTACTGTGTACAAAGCATTCAGATCCCTCTAAGAAGTGGAGCGCGTGGGACACTGAAGCCCTCTATACCTATTATGGGTGCCACGTGCATCTGATTGGCTCAAAATATCTCAAAACCTCTTAACTGAAAGTTTTCCATAGCCTTATTATTCAAGAACTGGCAATGAATTCCCCCTGTTTACTCTGTGAAGGTATGCAGTCTAACCACTGAGCCTAAGACTAGATCAGACATGTTTTCTACTAATACCATGTGTGGTGGCATTCATTGCTTGGCCAGGTAACGCCACCCAAGACGTGTTATAGTACAAAGGCTTTGTTGTTAAAGACAAAATAACAGCCTTTTTTCGTTTCTGACTGCCTCCTTTTTATATACGTCTGCTTCAGTGGATTTTAGTTGTATAAAGGAGAAACCCAAATGCCATTCCTTTGGAAAAAAATAAAACATCTTGTGACATAACATTTTATAGTATTTCTATGATTTCAGATATTATTTGTTGAGTTTATGTAATGTTTACTTAATAGGTACTGATACATGAGCATAGAAAATGACAAAGAATAGTCTGGCTCTTTATTGAAAACTCTCTGACTCTTAATTGAAAAAAAATGTTATTTATTGTTGTTGGTTATATGGCCAAGGGTAAATACACTTCACTATAAATAAATTGTAAAGATGTGTATGTGTAGTATGTGTAATTGTGTCTACTTATTATGTGTATGTAATATACAGTTTTTTCTGCTACTTTAGCACCCTAATTTCCTTTAAGTCTAAATATCTATCTAAATAAGTGTCTCTTGTTGATCTCCAGGTACAATGGCTCCCTTCCTGGTGGAGATAAGGGTCGGAAGAGGAGTCGCTTTGCTCTGTACAGGAGAGCAAAGGCTAATGGTGTCAAACCAAGCACTGTGCATATCCTCAGCAACCCTCAAGACAGCAAGGTGTGTGGCTTAATGTTACAAGAGTAGATAAACAAGTAGAATGAATAGGTTAGTAGGTTAGTTTGAACATCTTGAAGGCTGTTTTATTTGCCTATTTAAATCAGTCATTTTGTACCTTTTTTAAAAGAATGTATATGATCTTCTGGCTATAATGGTGTATACTATAGCGCTGAGTTTAATTAATGAATAGGTCTGACCTTTTCTTTCAGGCGGTGAACAGCAGGGGTCAGCACAGTATCTCCTTCACCCTCTCTAGGAATCAGACTGTGGTGGTGGAATACTGCCATGACAACGACACAGATATGTTCCAGGTGAGACACCGAGAACCACACACACACACACACACACACACACACACACACACACCACATCTTCTAAGCCGCTTATCTTTCTGGGTCACGGGGGGAGCTGGAGCCTATCCCAGCAGTCACTAGGCGGAAGGCCCGAGAACTGCTGAGCAACATTAATTTCTGAATTATTGGTGTGCACAGGCTATTCTTGGTAGAGTCTTTTTTTAGGGGGTAGTAACTAGTTACAGTTACTCAGGCACGTATTACACTATGTTTTAGCTCCGGTCCTAAAATCTGATTGGCTGAGATGTTCGAAGCCGTTTTAAAAATACTCAATATATGTGCACCTACAACTGCCTCACAACAGCTGAATTTTGTATTACTCACAAAAAACCCTTGTGCTGTTAATGGATTAATTTGGCTGTAATGCTGCCCATGTTGAGCACCAAGCATACTGATGATGTAAAAACCCATTTTTGTTTAAACCCAGGGGCTGACAACCCACTTTCTTAACTAGAACTAGGCTGGTCATCGAGCTAACCAGCTAAAATACAGCAAATACGCTAAAAAACTCCAGCATTAATGTCACAGTCTTAATTTAAAGTACTTATGATATACTTCACTGTACAACGACTATATAAGTCACTTGAATGGCTAACACTTCAAATGTCTGTGTTTCAGTCAGATCTACCTTAAGTAACGTTAAACTCAAACAGATTCATCCTCCCTAAATAGTGTGCTATGTACGCTTTTAAATTCTAATATTTTGTTTATTGAGTATGGATGTGGCTGAATCCCAAATGGCTATCTGTTAGCTATATTATGCACTGTTGGTGTGCAGAAGCCAGTGTTTCAATTCCTGCTGGAGCTGTTAAGATTCAGCCCCAGGGTAGGAAAAGGGGCGCTGTTAGCTTGGTGCTAAATAAGACTCGTGGTAGTAATTTGATGACCAAAAAGTACTCCTAAAGCAAAGGTTTTTGCATTAAACACTGCTATGCAATAATATGTTCATTATTATATGAATTTTTTTTTAAAAGTTTGTGAAATGACCTCAATATACAGTGATAAACGATCAAACATTCTACTACTCTGCTTTGCGCTGTGAGCCACCTTCCTCCTGTGATAAAACCACAGAAAAGCACGACCTCTCATGGCTTATTGCTTAAGTAAAGTTATATATCTATGGAAAATATACTTGTGTATTTTTTAACTGTCTCATAGCAACAATATGGTTGTATATGTATGTATCCAGTCATAAAGAACCATGCTACTTTAAAAAGGCCCTGGAATTAATAAACGATTCATTTTGTTTTCATATCATTGTCGCAATCTTTTGGACTGAATTGGCAATTGTTTGACAACAGTAGGCCGCCCACGCTGTTTACAGAAATGATTGATGAATACACATATTGGATGTTCATTATGGCTTTCAGAGTTGTGCTGGGACTTGGATACAATTACCATACGTTGATGGTACATTTCTTATTGTACTATTTGTTGCTGTATATTTGTTTGTTTTGTTAATAAACATGGGGGAACACCCCTTTCTTCTATACTTTCTCCTAACCCCTGAACACATTTCAGGCACAGAATATTTCCTTGCTTTAAGCATTGTATCCAGATACCTAGTGTAATGTAGCTACTTTAAAGTGCCAAAGTGCTTTAAACATTGCTGATACATGATTTCTCTTGTTGCTGAATGCAGTCAGATCCTCACAGCAATGTTCCTATCTCTACAGTCTTCCCAGAGTAGAGGCTGTTTCTGCAGCAAAGGGATGGATAAACTCCATATTAAGACCATATTTCAGAAGAAACATTTTTTGAGGGGAAAGTAATCTACTTTTCACTCAGTTACATTTTACATTAGTCACTAAGTTTTCATTATGTTACACCGTTGCCAGCATCTGTACGGCTTTGTGATTTGTCACAAAGTGCATTTTGAAATGTATTATTTAATTTTAAACCCACAGTTCTTCAAAAGGAGAAGAACAGCACATAATAAACTTTAGTTCCTGTGCTGATAGATGCTGGATGTACTAAGTAGTATTAGTGCTACTTTCAATCTTCTGCTGGACTTGTTTACTTGAGCTATTATTTCACAGAAGTAACAAGTGTGGGTGTTGGCTACTCTACCCACCTCTGCTTGTAACCCACCTATTGGTTTCAACATACACTAAATGCCCAAAAGTTTACTACACCTGCTTATACAAAAATTCTTCTGAAATCAGGGGTATTAATAGGGAGTTTGTCCCCTTTGCTGCAATAACAGGCTATTCTGTTCTGGGAAGGCTCTACATCAGATGTTGGAAGATTGCTGTGAGGATTTGATTGCATTTAGCCATAAGAGCCTCAGTGGAGTCAGATACTGATTTTGAATGATTAGTTCTGGATCACAAATGTCACTCCAACTTATCCCAGAGGTACTGAATGGTGCACCCTCACTCCAGAGAACACAGTTCCACTTCTCCACAGCCCAGTGCAGGGGGACTTTATGCCCCTCTAGCTCATTCCTGGCATTGAGCATGGTAACCTTAGGCTCATGTGCAGCTGCGCCAGTGTCCAATTCTACTGCCAGTGCTGTTTTGTGGAGTTCATGCAGACTGCAACCTGTATCAATAAATGGGTGCACCTTAAAGTAGCTGAATTCACTGATAAGACATCTAGATACTTTTGAACAAATAATGTTTTACTTAAGAAATAGTAGTTGCTGGATGAGAAGTTTTAAAATGAATAAAAGCACGCATCTTAACAAAAACAAAAAAGAGAGCTCATATTACTTGTGTTTTAAAAGAGCTGCATGGGGTAGCTGTATCTTTCAGGATAAAATTTGAAGTTCAGCTCCTAGTTTTTAAGGCTCTAAATTACCTTAATGCACCTGCTTACATCATAGAATGTTCTGTTTATGTTCCAGCTCGTGATCTTAGATCTGCAGATACTGACCTTCTGCAAATACCTTTTGTAAAATACAGAAAACTTGGAGAGACTCTTTCGGTTATTATGCTTCTAAACTGTGGGACTCAATTTCACCTTTTATTAGACACTTTTAAGAAGCTAAGAAGCGTTTAATTAAAACTCTACGTCTCTTGGTATTTGTCTTTCTCATTTGACCTGTGTCTTTCTTATGATTTTAAATTAGTACTCATAATTTCTTCTATTCTTGTTAAGCTTAATCACCTGTCTGTAAAGCACACTGAGCTGCCACTGGCATGAAAAGTGCTATATAAATAAAGATTATTTTTATTATTATTATTATTGTTATAATTATTATTAGAAGTAGTAGTAATAGTAGTATAAATCTTAACTAATTTTCTCCAGGGGTGTGAAGGTTACCAGCACACAGTACTTTCAAAACATTTCATGTAGAATTTGTTTTGTCACTTGGTCGACATTTTCAGTGACAAACTCTGATGCATTCATCAAAGATGGCAGATTTAAAGATGAGATCAACTATTAAGTAAGATATGTGCAAAGTACACAGTTTATAAGCTTTTTAGAAAATGGTAAGAAGTCACTTGTCCTGTCTTTGCCTTTAGATTGGCCGCTCCACTGAAAGCCCCATAGACTTTGTGGTGACTGATACACCAGGTGGATCGAAAGAAAGTGAAGACTCTTCTGTTGCCCCAAGCACCATCTCACGCTTTGCTTGCAGGGTGGTCTGTGAACGGAACCCCCCCTACACTGCCCGTATTTATGCAGCTGGCTTTGACTCTTCTAAAAACATTTTCCTTGGGGTTGGTATTCTTCAAAAACTTTAACGTTGTGTCATTTTTGAGCTTTGCTTCTTACTTCATAAAATGCTAGTGCCTGAAACATCATGTCTATAATTGTACACGTAATGATCAATCTCTTCCTGCAGGAAAAAGCCACCAAATGGAAGAACGCAGATGGTCAGATGGATGGGCTCACCACCAACGGAGTGCTGGTGATGCATCCGCAGGGTTTCCCAGAAGAGTCAAAGCAGGGCATGTGGAGAGAGATTTCTGTCTGTGGAGACGTCTACACCCTGAGAGAGACCAGATCCGGCCCCATTCGTGGACAACTGGTAAACACTGTCACAACCTAGTTAATACGTTCATTCCCTTAATACTGTCCCTTAAAGGTCTGTGTAGAAACAGGTCACGGAGAAACAGCCCAAAAAAATATATTTGGTGATTACAGAAATGAAGGATTTAAAAAATACAGTAGTAGCTTAAGCACGGAAGCTTCTAAAACAAACCTGGCTGCATGTTCTTCTCAAAAAATTGTTGTAGGCCTAATTCTAAATGTAGTTACATGTCATTCTAAGGCCTTAATTTTGTTTACACTGAGTTTCTGGTGTCAAAAACAGTTTAACCTCACTGGGTTAAGGACCCTGATACAGCAAGCTGACTGTCAGATGCCATCACACCTTTAGTCAGTGTCTGTGGCCAACCATCATCGTATGCATAATGCATGCATAATGTAATACAGTTAAAAAAATTAATATTTAAGTAAAAAAAAAGAAACTCATCCATTACATTTGTCTAATGTTTGTGATTTAACTGTACCCCATGGAAGTTTTTTATCATTTTTATATTGTTTTATTATTTTATATATGTGTATGCAGATATATGTAATAACATAAATAATCATCATTAATTAGCATTCACACATATAAAATTGTAATGAAAAGTTTGGACAGCCTCGGTTGATTTTCTAGGTGACAATAAGTTAACACATCCTGCAGTTTCAGTGCACAATTACTGTTTATTTGTGGGTTTTATCATATTGGGGTGGCAGGGAATATAAAAAGTATATGAAATGTGCCGTAACTTTTGCACATGGCACATTTTATGTATTCTGATATGTTACATTCATCTAATAAACAGTAATTGTGTGTTAACATGTGCAAAAGGGTGTTCTGTGTAGTGTTAACTTATTTTAATCAACAAAATATTTAACTTGACCAGGGGTGCCCAAACTTTTGTGTATGACTATACATATAAAGCATAGCTGGTATTTACATGAAGCTGTGGGCAATGATTTAACATGCCAATAGGCTTCCTCACTTCCTATTGGCTGTATGTATATTGGAACACTGTTATTGGTAGATAGCAAAACAGCTCATGTGACACCTTCACTTTAGGTTTTAGCACAGCATTATTCCCTGAATACCAGTTTTATATCCTTTTGAGAATGACTCGCTAGAAAGGTTGTTAGCTGATTGTAGAGCAGTCCCCCTCAAACCCAACCCCCCATGCCCCCATCAGCACACACAGCAGTTCTCTTTACTGTAATTGCCACAGATATTATGAAAGGTCTGTGTTGAATTTTTATTGCAATTTCTTGGCTGTTGGGTGTTTTTGTCAATCAATTTTCCTGTCCTCCACTAGGCCCTGGGTGAGAGCAGTGCCCTGCAGGATGGCTCTCTGGTGGACCTGTGTGGAGCCACCTTGCTGTGGCGCACTGCTGAAGGCCTACTCAAAGCACCCACCTTGCGCCACCTGGACGCCCTGCGTCTAGAGCTGAACGCAGCCCGGCCGCAGTGCCCTGTGGGTCTGAGCACCCTGGCCTTCCCTAGCCTGCCCCGCAGCCACAGCCTGGAGGAGCGTCAGCCCTGGGCCTACCTCGCTTGCGGCCATGTCCATGGCAGACACGACTGGGGCCAGAGGCCCGAACGCACCCGCGACCGGGATGAAGGGGCAAGCGGGGGCACGGGCGGGCGGCGGGAGTGCCCCCTGTGCCGAACAGTGGGGCCTTACGTGCCCCTGTGGCTTGGCTGCGAACCGGCTTTTTACATGGACGCTGGCGCCCCCACTCATGCCTTCGTGCCCTGCGGCCATGTGTGCTCAGAGAGGACGGCCCGGTACTGGGCCGAGACACCCCTGCCCCACGGGACCCACGCCTTCCGCCCCGCTTGCCCCTTCTGCTCCGCACCGCTGTCGGGCAGCCCCGGCTTCACTCGCCTCATCTTCCAGGGGCCCATAGATTGATGAGGTGGCCACAGGAGGGTAGAAAGCAGGACAGGAGTGCTATGGAGACCAGTGCCTATCTCACGACTGTGTTCATACTGTAGATAGACATGCCGTAATTTACATGCAAATCTGCCATTGCTTCTTTAGAGTATGCACACAGTTAACTTTGTATGTGGATTCTACCTCTGAATACTGTCCTGAGTTAGCCTGGTCCAAATCTTGTAAGGGTTTGCCCCATTTTCCTTCTTGGATTCAGTTTGGCACTGACCGAATAGTAATCCTTTAATCAAGCCATATTAACATGTTCTGATGAGCTGCAAGGGCAGTGGTTCATGTTTAGTGATATTTGAAGTAGAGGACACGGAGGTTGATTAAAAAAAATGTAGAAGTGCCCAAAGCACTTGAGATTGGCACTAACAGAGTTTTATTATTGACTGTACACCATGTCCAGAAGTATTCAGACACCCCTTCTAATTAGTGAATTGAGTTTCTTTAAGGTGCACTCTTTGCTGACACAGGTGTCTAGTTGTTCACACAGAGCTTGTACAGTCTCCATGAAAAAGCATTGCTAATAGAATGGGACGCTCTGGAGCAACTGCCTGTGAGCCTAAGGTTACAGTGACCGATGCCAAGCTAGAGCCTAGCACGAGGCTGCGGAGCAGTAGATCTGTGTTCTCTGGAGTGATGGAGCTCAATCCAATACCTTTGGGATAAGTTGGAGTGGCGTTTGTGATCCAGAACTAATCATCCAACATCAGTTCCTGCCTCACTATTGCTCTTGTGCTGTGATGAAAGAAACGTTGGATGAGCAGGTGTCTACTTTTGGACATAGTGTATATTGGTTTTTGCGATTGGTTCAGCAAGAGCTAGATTTACCAACATACTCATTGATATCACCCATGTAGCCTATTCTGACAGTGCCAGATGGAATCTGTGGAGCAGAATGAAAGCGAAAGTACCTCTTGAGTCCAGAATGACCATATGATACCTAACTTTCTCCAAATGCTTATTCAGTAACTGGTGAGTCCACTCACATCTTCGCTTTGTTTTGTGTCTTAGTTTTATCAGAAGTCTCAAGACCTGAAATCAAAAGCTATGCTGCAGAAACATGATCAAAACTGAACAGAAGAATATTGTCATGCTCCAAAAATAAACTCCAATATAGTAACTTTATAGGAGAAGACAAAAACGCTCTTAACTTTTAATGGAAGTTATTGCAACAAGATTTTTTTGCAAAATAATTTTGGAGCATTTCTATTGGTCCATCCATTATGGAATCAAAATTGTGTTCAGATTCTGTAGAAAAAAACAAAGGGAAAAATGTTTATTTTGGACAGTCACTATATGGGTATTCATAGGAAATTACTCTGTAGATCTATCATCTGGCCTTTAATCTGTGGAGTCAATGTCCATTGTTGCACTCCCTCCTTTTTACCCATCTATGGCCACTAAAGCTTTCTCAGTACATACTTGTGATTTCATCTCACTCTGCACACTAGACAAGACAACCCCCCAATACAACACTCATCTTAAGCAATAAGCATTACTAGAATTAAGCTGTAGCTCAACTGAGAGATGCAATGACTCGAGTGTGTACTAGCTGATTCTAGCTTAAACATGGCTGAACTCGGCTTTGGGTCGAAGGGCTTTGCCAAGTCATGAGTAATGTAGCCCTTGTGATTTTCTTTTTTTTTTTATTTAATTTTTTTAGATTGTTCTTTGTATTATTATGATTGTTTTAGCATTTAAATGAGAATAGAAGTTGTAGCTGCCGTATATACAGTAGTTGTTTGAAAAAGTCAAGATGTCATATTTTTCTACATGATTATTGTGTTACTAAACTTTGACCGAAGGTCAGATTTTTTTATATACAACTGTTTCACATATAGCAGTATATTTACTATATATATAAATATTATTTTAATGTACAAATATGATTTGAATCCTGGAGAGCTCACAGCTAATGTAAGTAGGCTTCACTGTGTCATGCTCCAAAATGGCATAGGAATCCCATATATGAATACAATGACTAGTATAATGAATGTACTATTCCAGTGCTTAGTTAATATCTCTGCTCTCCGTGGTGCTATCATTGATCTTAAATGAGTCGTATATATTTTTATCTAAACTTCACTGCACTCCTTGATAGTATTTGATTGTTTTGGTTACCTTAAAGCTGAAAAAAAAACACATTCACCCACTAAATCACCCGTACAAACGCAGGCCTTGCACTGTGCATCTCTATTTTTTTCCTAGATAAGCTGATCACATGAGAAAGCTTTTTTAAGTACAGGGTGTAAAGATAGATAAGCTCTCCTTTACCTCACATGCAAAAGAAGAGACCTCAATTTAACATATTTTTATATTAACAGAAAGAGATAACATTTCATTTTTCACCTTTTCCTGCTTGTTGTCATGACTGTATTTCACATCTGCTAAATTTTCTTTTGGATTGTTTATCAGGGCTTACATGTTCTTTGATATTTGATGCATCGTGCCAATAAGAGTATGCATTTACTATTAATCCTGAGTTATTCTGCCATTGTAGGCCACTAAAAATTGGCTCGAACTGAAACTGGTTTTGCTTATCTTCTTTCCACCCAGTTAACACATTCCTTAGTTTTATGTCTGAGACTACGACCAACTTCAGAAGTCTTGGTTGTAGCAATTTCAGTCTGTTGCAACTGTAGACATGGGCTGCGTTCACATTACCAGGCAGAAGCGGCACAAATCCATTTTTTTTGCTTTAGTGTAACATGGATGTGGTTTTTCAGAGCTGTGTGAACACAAAAATCTGATTGTTGCAATCCAGATCAGAACCGCTTTCATATGCGATTCTAGATCGGAAACATGTCTGACTCAAGACCATGCGACCATAATAAGAAAGGTCAGATCGGACTTTATGTTTTTGTGTGTGCACGTTACTGTCATCATCCAGTGTTGGGAGTGCTGCAACAGCACCTAGCTTGAAGTTAGTGCTGATAATGGCTCTTAAAGCAATGCTTGTGGCCCTTTTTATGGCCTTTTCAGCTTGATTATGAACAGCAAACTAGCTTTTCAGAGCGAGTAGGTTTTGTGGTGAAGGCTTGTTCTGCTAGTTCTTTCATTTGTCGTTGTTTATGATTTAGATGTTGTTTGTTCACATTAAAGGAACACTCCGGCCAAAATGAAAAATGTATCGTCACACCTGTTATAAACATGCTCACTTGACCCTGACAGTGGTCTTACAGTAGTCTCTAAAGTGAGATTTACTTGTCCAAAGATGAGGAAGACCCTTTTGTAATGTATCTTGAAGGTGGAAGTGCATTTTGACAGACTACAAGTGCTTTGCTGTGGATATTTGAATGATTTCTTAAACATAATTTTAACAACCAAGTTAATTTAGGTTTAACAACCACATTTAGTGCTATGTCACGTGAGCGGCGTAGAGATTCCCAAAAATTGTATGATGCCATTGCGTTATGCGAAGCATGTTGGATATTAAGTGAGTGAGTAATAGACAAAAACACAAAAAATTAATTAATTCCATCAATCTGATGAGGCTTAGAGGGATAATTCTGTGCTACAGAATACATAACAAATAATGTGTTAAATGCTAGTTTTAGGCCAGAATGTCCCTTTAAAGAGAGATCTGGGTCACTTAGAAACATGAATGTGAACCATCCAGGTTGAAAATGGAGTTGAGCAGTAAGGCTTGTAATGTGACCGTAGCCCTAGATGCCCATGTTTCAGGCTGAGGTGCGGTTGTGTCTTGTAGCAGGCCATTGCTCTGGTACAAATAATTTCACGTCTTCCAAAAGTCTCAGAAATGCTGTTCTGCCCCCATTCTTAACCTGCTAAGGGCACTTTAACTCCTCTGGCCTCTGCAGACTGATAATGGGTGACCTCAGGTTTACACAAGTCAAAGTTTACACTCTTCCCAGGGTCTCTATATGCTCAACGCACAGGGCACTGTTAGCAGGGCTAGAGATTTGTGTGTGTGTGTGTGTGTCTGTGTTTGTTTGTGCGTGCATGTATGTGTGCTGGTATAATTTAGTACCCCCCATCACTCACAACAGGGTTTTATCTCAGAGGAGAACACAGATCTGGGACGTGTTCAAGATGCATGAAATTCATAATTAGTTCAGTCCAGTGCAGTGTCTGCTTTACTGTTATTTTTCATTATCCTGAGTATTTCGCCATGCTTGAAAGCCTTGTTTCCCCAAAGGAGAGAATCCTTGTCCAAACAGTATTTTATCCAAACAGAGTTTTATTTAACTACGATTGATTATTTTACTGATATAGTCCCACACTGGATGAAAGGAGCATCTTCATACCTTACAACTGGGATTGGTGATCGTAGACACGTGATTGAAAAAGTGGTCAGTTTGAGTGTTGTCAGTATTGATGTGTTCTATTTGAATGATGACTTAAAAAAAAAAAGCTGCACCTTGTGTTTGACCCCTGTTACAGACTGTGACCTTTCCACTGTCACATTCCACTGAATAGACCTCAATAAACCAGCTATCAAACCACACAGTGAACACAGATACACAACTATGCTTAAACCCAAGGTGCACTGACAATCACAAATCAAAACCTGAATAAAAGAAATGTTTCCAAAAGTTTATTCGTCATGTTCTCTGCATTTTCGGTGAGAAAAAGATCAATTCTTAACATGTTCTTCCACTAGAGGGCAGCATTGCCATTATTGTTTTTGCTCCCATTGCAAAAAATGTGTATTTGCTTTAGAAATAATTGGCAAATTTCTGCCTAGTTAAATCGTTGTGATGTAAACAGTCATTCAGAATGCTTCGACGTGAAATGTAGAAACCTGCTGTCTGATTTCTTTGTAGTGGTGGTGATGGGAACCAGGGCTCATGATGATTACAACACAAATGTAGCCATTTTATCTCCTGACCAAAACGACTGGTGAACTTATACATCTTCTTAATTTGTTTATAATATCAATCAGCCATAACATTAAAAGCGCCTCCTTGTTTCTACACTCATTGTCCATTTTATCAGATCCACTTACCACAGAGGTGCACTTTGTAGCTCTACAATTACAGACTGTAGTCCATCTGTTTCCTTTCATAATTGGTTATCCTACCTTCAACCCGTTCTTCAACGGTCAGGACCCCCACACGACCACCACAGAGCAGGTATCGTTTGGGTAGTGGCGTGTTAGTGTGTTTTGCACTGGTACAAGTGCTGTGTGTATATATACCTCTCTCTCTCTCTCTCTCTCTCTCACTCTCTCTCTCTCTCTCTCTATATATATATATAGAGAGAGAGAGAGAGAGAGAGGTAGGAGTGTCTAAAAGAGTGTACAGTTAGGAAGCTAACAAATTACGCAGAGAAACAGATGGACCACAGTCTAATTGGAGAACTACAAAGTGTACCTATATGGTAAATGGAGCTGATAAAATGTACAAGGAGTGTAGAAACAAGGAGGTGGTTTTAATGTTACTGCTGATTGTGTATAATATTGATAATGATAAAATAGTGGTACACCTGAATAATAAAAGAGGTTTTATGCCAAAACATAAATATTTCACATAATAGTAACTTTGGGTGAGGGACCTTTCGGAAGCATTAGATGTCTAGTTCCTATCACCACCACTGTGAACAATTCTGAATTTCTCACATCAAAACACTCTGAATGACTATAATGACTATATTTTTACCATTTAGTTACCCAAAACTTGTGAAAAAATATTTGAAAAGGAACACAATGATTCTGAGAGATCAGTTTTACTTACACTAGATGGCAGTATAACAAAGGATTTTAACCCATTCATGAGCAAAACACATCTTAATCCAGTATAAGAAGGAAAAATGCCACAGAACTTGTACTGAAGTGGTAAGAATTAGTGTACTGACACCTTGTATAAATTTAAGTTTTTTCGTTTTTCATTTTCATAATGTAATATCTAATCAAATTAGGATTTCTATTGTTTTGTTTTAAAAAATCTAAAGTGCCATGTGGCTAAAATATTTAATATCTTAACTTGATTTAATATGATAAGTGATAAAAACTAACTTCTTAGCCAAATAGCTTCTGCCAATGATGTCAGACAAGTCTGACTGAGGCAGCTGATTCCTTCATTTGTTATGAGTTTGTTTGTTGTTTATGCCTGTGTACATGATTTTGAATGAGTAACTTGTACTTTCTTTTTTGTACATTTAGTTTTAAATATCTGTTCACATTGCCTTAATGCTTTGGCTGAGCACAACCTTGTAGTGATAGACTTGATCACAAACGATCACACAAGAGTGTTTTTCCCTTTAATTTTAAGCATAATGAGCATGAAATAGATAAAGTCTCACCACCATTCGTACCAGTCTGTGACCAGTGGAACAAGTTACAAGGTCTTCTTTAAAGTCCAGCATGATGCCTAGTTCAGAATGAGAAGACAAGTGCACTGGGGGGCACGTGTACCTGTTTTTTGGCAAATCAAACAACATAACAAAGCACCCCAGCATTGGGCTTTGGAGGAGTGGAACTGCATTCTTTGGAGCAATAGAGCTAAATTCAGTACCTTCGGTACTTGGCATTTGTGATCCAGAACTAATCATCCAACATCAGCACCTGATCTCACTTATTCTCATGTGGCTGAACGCAATCAGATCCTCACTGCAGTTTTCCAACATCTAGTATAAAGCCTTCCCAGAATAGCAGAGACTGTTACTGCAGGGGACAACCCATGATTTCACAGGAAAAATGTTGGATGAACAGGTGTCTGCAAATATATATATATATATATATATATATGTATATACATATTTTTACGCAAATTTACACAGATCTTCTAA